TGCTCAACAACGTTTTCTGAAGTTGAGGAATGTACTTCAGAAACTAAATGTCTTTGATTTTAAAGAACAGTTAAAAAAAAAACCAAACAAAAAACAACTAAAAAAACCTGCTCAGGTTTCATCTGATTGCAGTAAAACAGTCTTCCCATGCTGTCCTGACTGTATCGATTCATTTGAATGTACAAAGAAATAAACAGGGAAGCGCACTTTTTCAAGTTCTTAAAGTCTATCTTGCGATGAATTTCTGTCAAACCTAATCAGTTTAGCAAACAGAATCATGGAAATCCATGGAGTTTCTATGTATTATGAGCAATGAAAAATCAAAAGCAGCTGAATAAACCTGATTGCTTGTAACTCATTTCCTGCATTTTTAATGCTTGTTTCACACACTGACTAGCTACTTTTTTTTTTTTTTTTTTTTTTGTAGTGACAGTACACACTTGCAGCATTAATGTAAATATTTTGGTGTATTTTCCAGATGACAGCACTAGAGAAAGCCACTGGTGACGTTGTGCTCAAGTTTGAACCATTTGTTCTTCATGTGCTATGTCAAGAGCTGCAAGATGCACAGCTTCTGGTAAAATTACATCAAGTAACAATGTCACATTGTTGTTCTGTTATATTCCTTGCTGTAAAAGTATTGGCTCCTGAGTAAGCTTTAACACTTTAAGAATAGTCCCAGATGTGCTGTATGTTTAATAACTAGGGTAGTAAAAGTAAGCTGATGAAGAAAACACAGCTTTAAACTGAGTACAGATTTTGCTGTACTTCTTGGAAAACAAAATTACTCAACTACAATTTAGTGTTCGAGCTGAATTTTTCCCGGTGAGCCTGGGTTGCTTTCGCTGGCTGAAAGTGATGGTTTTTTTAGATGTCATTTTGCTACCGGCCAGGCCATTTGACCCCGGTGTCTCAACTAATTGAGTAGTACCTTTGCCTTCTGCTTTTCCAGAATGATTCTGGAGAGTAATGCACGACGGGTTTGTTCCTTCATTAATGTAGAAGAGAGTTGATTAGCTTCTTTTATAGTACTGCTGCACTTTTAGCTACAAAAGTGTTGCACGACTGTCCTTTGTGGTTACCAGCTCTTCAAGGTAAAGTAGTACGGTACCCGGTGAGACATTCATGTCCCATCTGCACTAATGCATTAAGATTAGACAATCAAGATCAACTGTGGTTCTTTGAAAACCAACCACAATTTGTGATACTACGTGGGTTTGATCTTAAAAACATTTTAATGTAACTATTAATGCATTAATTTGGGGAGATGGTTTTGAATAAGTTTTTTTTGCAAAACTGAGATTATAAACTGCATTGCAACCCATCCATAATTATTTCTTGCTGTGAAAGCGTATGACCTGTTTAAGGCATTTATTTGTTCTGCAGCATTCAGTGGCTATCGATTCTGGGTTCAGGAACTCTGGTATTACCGTTGGCAAAGGAGGAAAAATTATGATGGTAAGGACTTTTCTACTTACCTGTAAGGAATGTAACAAAATCATAGTTACTGTTAACTTTGATTTTTTTACGAGCCAAGATCTGAATTGTAATGTGATTGACAGCTATCACAGGGCATGCTGTAGCAAAAAAAAATCTTTCTGCTTTAGCTGACAGCGAACTAACCAATTGTGTGGATACGTGGTTTTTTTCCTGTAATGAACTCCCCGTATTATTTAAATAACCTTCATAAAATAAAAAAACTTTATTCTAGATAAATCCTTCTCTGTGTGTTTTTAGGCTGTCCGGAGCACTCATTGCTTAGAAGTTCCATTGAGCCACAAGGGGAAATTGATGGTCTCCGAAGAATATATTGAATTTCTGATACATGTAGCTAATCGTAAAATGGAAGAAAACACAAGGAGGATTGACAGGTTTGTAAGAGTACACCAATCCTATTCATGACATCTAAATCCAAAAGTGAGAGAGGTTATGTTAAAAAAAAAAAAAAAAAAAAAAAAACAAACCACCAAAACCAGACAACCCCCTGAAGTCGAAAATACAATTTCAATTAATTTTTTGAGCTCTGAAGACTATAAACCGTTTAAACGAAAACCTATAAACGTGAGTTTGCAGACTGTCTTTGTTACTGATGTTACTGAGTAGGGTTTAAGTTTCTTTTTCTAATGATAACAGCATTTGTTATTCTAACACAGTAACATTTCAGGAGTATTCAGATTGCAGTGCACACTTTAATCCACTAAATGCTTTGTATAGTTTCCAAAACTGATGATTTATGTAGGCGCTGGAAGGTTACACACACTTTGGGTCTTTACGTTTGTCTCCAGCTGAGGAACAGAATAGGCAGAAGAGCCAAAGAGCGTGAGGATCAAAAGGACGCTGGAGAGACACCTACACCTACTAAGACCAGTTTCTTTTTGTATGTCCATTGAAAATCTCTGTAGTTGTTAAAGTTAAAAGTAATTTGTAATAGTAGCAGTCCGTCTGATCATTAATGCTATCATTCATCAGACGTTTAACCTGATACCATTTTATAGCTTCTGTAAGATTAACAGGGTCTTAATGGCATGTGAGTACATCCACTAATTGATTTCTAACATACAGGCATTTCAAAGAGAAGTGGCATGGCATACACAAGGATGCATGCTGGTATTTCTAATTTGTCTTCCAGTATTGGCTAGAACATTTCAATGTTAGTAACGATTTTCTTCTCTTAGCACATTTTGATTATATTACAAAAGCATTAGTTTCTCAGAGTAGTTTTGCAGATCCTGAGCAAAACTACAAAAATAATAACTACACAATTGTTTCTAGATTCTACAAACGCTTAGAGTTAGCTTTGAAAACTGCTGTCAGTGCAAACAACACACCCTCTGAGGAGACGGAGAAGAATCGCCCTGTGTACATTCACAGAAGAAAGAGAAAGACCATTCAAGAACAAGTTGTACACACCTTTCCAAAGGGTCACAGTGAAGAATTGGAGCCTGAGGATGATACAGAAAGCAATCTTGCTATTTTTGCTGAAATCATGATATAGACTAAGGCATTTGAAAGCAAATGGCAAACTGAATAATAATTGTAATGCTCTTTGAAAGAGACATAAATACCGCTCTGTTCTAAGTAGTAACACTCTCATGGACCAGGAAAAAAAGGTAATGAAATGGAATTGTGAACAGTTTTAATACCACAGAAGCACAGAGAACAAAACCTTAGAACATTTGGGGTTTTTTTTTAACAGCACAGTTGAATTAACAATCTTTTACTCTGTCTGTCAGTTATCACAGAAATAACTGGTTTGCTACAGCCTTTGGCCATGTTCTCTACGGAAGCATTTTATTTGCAAACTCTGGGTTTAGGCCTGATGTTTGCAGAGCAGAGAAACTCTAAAAACTAGGTTGTTATCCTTGAAGGTTTTTAATCCCTATAGGACCTCTGCAAAACGGTGTGCACCAATATAGATGTGTTTCAGAACAACACAAAGCCACATATTAGTCAGCTGAAGAACAGTACCTGGTGTGGAGGTTAGAATAGAGAAGTAGAAGTTGCATACTGCTCTATGCCGGCTTTAGCCGGATGCGTCCAGGATCCTTCTGACTGTTGCACCGGGCAGCAAAGTTGATGCCATTTTCCTGCACTTTACCATGTTTCAGGCTCCAGCCCCACTGTGTTCATGTGTTCTGCTTCCCTTGGCCAGCAGCCATTAAGTGTTATTTTTCTTTGCATCTTTTGGCCAATTCTGTGTGCTGATAGTTCGTTAGCTCACTTACATACCATTCTGTGTGGCCAGCACCCAGCTTCGGTTCCAGCTGTTGGGCAGAAAGTCAACCAAGTGTAGAGTAACGGGCTTTCTTACCAGGCTACAACCACTGACATACAATAAATGTTAAATATAAAACAGTGTGATAATTTGTGCATTTTTATATTGTACCACTGGAAAAGTCACTCCATACTTGCAGTGTATTTTTCAGAAAAATGGTGTATTTGTAAACCTTGACAACAACGAATTCTGAGCCCTTCCTTTTATGACTGAGTGATGGCTAACACTGCAAAACAAGATCCTGACTGAAGGAAACGGTTTATTTGGTACAGTAACTCCCAGTTCATACAGGTCATTGTTTCCATTACATAAGCCTATGTCTTGGGGACATTTTAATTCCACTGTAAAAATTTGACATACTAGGTGGCAGCCAAAGGGAATAGTAATTGGGGGCTTTAAATAGATTCTGAAAGACCTGTTATGCTGTGTTTCCAGTAGCAGGCATGCCAAAACAAATAAACTTGAGCGTTTTGTGTTGCTTGTTTGTGTTACTAACTTACAGCTTGAACTGTTTGGTGTGCTTGCTTTCATCCTTTTTCTGGTGGCTTGAATATGCTCAGCACCTGGTTGGGGCACGGGAGAGTGAGAGGCCACACGTTTCTGTCCTTGTGAGGGGATTGCAGTCGTGTCAAGTGAAATGCCGGGTGGTTGATGCTGTCCTTGGCTTTGGCAGCGAGCAAATAGCAGAAAGAGCAGGCTCTGCTATTCTCCGCGGAGGAGGCGAGGCACTGGTGACAAATTTTGAAGATTAAAGAACAGCTTGTGAGACGACCAAGTACATAAGATGTTGAAATACCACAAGAAACCTTCAAGAGTAATACGCCGTATATGCTGTGCTCAAACCTCGTGCGTATTTGGGTGGACTAATCCTTGTTTAATTCTAACTGAACCGGGGGGCAGGCATCATTTCTAATGCTGAAGAGCTGCTTGCTGGGAGGCGTGCGGCAAGCGCCCATCGCCTGGCGGGATCAGAGCGCGTGGCGTGGACGCGGTGGGGCCGCCCCAGCGGGGACATGGGTGAGCAAAGCCGGAGTCCCGCGGTCCGTGCGGCAGCAGGCACGCAGG